CACAGTTACTGTAACAACAATTCTCCATGATACATGAAAACAAAACAATCAAACTATTAGTAACTGTGTGTTTCAACAAGTCAAGGTTTTAATGCAAAGTAAAATCAATTTGAAACCAACTTGAATGTATGATGCATACCAGTTGAATGTTGATGAAATCTTCGGTATCATCAATATACTCCTTCAACTGTATCAGAAAAAAATAAGCTGGATTAAGAAAAGGAATACAAGATGAAAGGATGCACAGTAAGACTGTAGTAGATACCGATGTTAACTTGTTGAGGGTGCTGTCAATGACAACAAAATAAGCTTCCAAGAGCATCTCCAGTTCTTCTATACTCTGAGTTTCAGTGCCACTTTCCGAACTTCTCATGCTTTCATGCCTGCTTCTTGCTATGCTCAAGCTTTTTTCAAGCCTCCTGCTCTCAGGGGGTGAAGAAACAGGGGAAACTGGAGCAGACAAAGACAATGCACCATCTGTTGACCTGTAGCCAAGCAATGATTGATCTCCATAGCAAGACAATTCCATCCGCCTTTTCTTCTCAGTGAGGTACATCTCAGCCATGTCTCCATCATCATCCATAAGCTGCTCTATCTCATCTCTAACCTAGATAACAGATGGTGGGAAGTTAAGATAATATAATCAGTAACTTGTGCTAGGAAATTCCAAAAAAACAATAAATAACTAGGATACCTTCTGAACTCTACGAGTCAAAGCAACAAGCCTGCTTTTCAATCTACGAACTCGTTCCAAATTCAAGGTACTAATTTTAGATGTAAGTTCATCCAACAATGGGTATGCTTCAATCTCTAGTTCTGCTGCCTGATTGTTCAGAAAGAAAACAGAATCAAAATATTTGGGTTGAGAGGAACCAAATAATACAGAACTATCCAGAAAATTATCTACCTTGTGAATATCCTAATGTAGAACTTTCTCAAAAAAAAAATCTATTGTAGAATTACAATTGTTTATTCAACTTGTTCCAGGTCATGACCACATAAGTTAAAGGCCCCTATATTAAATTGTAACACCATACTTGGTTCACGGTAAGTCATTTCAGTAGTTCATTTGGTGCTCAAGTTGGTACAGTATTCTTGCAATATGGATTTTGCATTTTGTTGAGAGTATTCAAGAAACTGAGATATTCGTTTCAAAATCAGTGCTAAGTCCACTATTGCTTGTAAGCTCCTTTCTCTTTGAGCTAAGATCAAGCTCTTTGTTGCAACATTTACATGTGCAAACTATGAACTCCACAACTTGTTCCTATTATCGCTTGGAACCTTAGTGTCAACTAGTATTTTTAGGCCATTGATACAAATTCATTCATAATGACCATCTAGAAGTTAACTATGTCAAGTAAGGATCCTTGCATCTTGCATGCCATCACATGGATAGTCATGGCAGTTTTCAAGGTTAAGGTCAAACAACAAAAGATCTCTTTGTCCTGTTCTTTTTATCAATCTCTGTGCAGTACGACGGTGAAGTTCTCCTCCCACACATGCAAATACGACCAAAGAGATCAATGAGCCATAATTGAGAATATCTCTCACTGCTTTTCTTTGGACTGACACTGTTTTGGATCATTTTTCACGGTGAAACTTTCTGCCAAATTTCATTAATGAATGGCTTTCTGAAGTTACAGTATGACTTGATACTCCAGAGGAAGTATTGGAAAAACTCAAACCACAAAAATTCAAAATAAAACTAACACAAGTTGCAGGTCGAGATAAGCTGCTGCAACAAAGAGAGATCATAATACCAACATCAATAGTCATGAAATAGAACTATCTTCTCCATGAGTGCAAAATCAAGAAAAACAGAAGTTTATGATGCTGCTTTCCTACAAGGATGTTATTTTTCTGAAGATATTCTGAATAATTGAGCAACAGCTAGTCTTTCTTTTTTCTTTTTATAATGTTCAGTCAATAGATTGTCAGTAATGACGAATCAATTTTTGTCTGGACGCTGACCTGCCAATATGCCTCTTTACCAATAACTCCTCCCATCCTATTTTATGAATGATGTGATTTTGGACTCTTAGGAAGGGATGTTAGTACCCAATGCTGCTGTCATATATGAAAGTTGAAACAATGAAAAGTGTGCCACATTCAACATCACAAACTTCAAGACCGCCAACTACCTTTTCAGACTTGTTAATTCACCAATTTATATCTCATCTTCTACTACCCATTTTCAGCACCTCTGCTTTTTGTCCCAAAATGAGCAACTAAAACAAACTATAATTTTAAAAAAATGAAATTATGAAAATCATATGAAAACACACAAAACAAAACAAGATATAATAACTACAAATGTTTATTTAGCTTTTAAATTTAGCTCTTCCACAAATCTAAAAATGATGCTCTAATGCTCATAAAAGTATCTGTGAAGTGGTTACTAGGTTTTGTCACATATTTATATACCAATTCAGAGTTTCTGACTAGACCAAGGGAATATATTGATTCCCAACTTCTATTGGGCATATAAGCTACAGAGCTTTCTCTATTAACTAGTTTGAATGACTACTTAACCATTATGTTCTTTCTTCTCCTTGTGATAAAAAGGAGGATATTTGGTTTGAGCTCAGTGCTCTGTGGAGGTCAACTTAGCATCATCTCCATTTCCCCAGGAACATCAAACATCAGAGAGGCACGCTTTAAATGGAATATCAATTTTTTTTATAGAACCAAACAAAATTGAGCCGCATAACCACTCTGCAACTCTTATAACCAAATTCAGATATTAGTCCGTTCAGATACTTCCAACATTTAAAATGATATTTAAGCTTCGAATCAGCTGGAAAAAATGTGTGTGGAAGGCAAGAATATAGGGTTATTAAGTATGTTGAGCGGTAACTCAGCTATTTTTTTTTGAGAAGAAAAAAAAAAAGCAATAGCTGAGTTACCGCTCAACTCAGCTATTTCCTGGACCCAGGCTTTGGTCTAATGGTAAGATTGCGGCTTGAGACGCGTCAGTTAGGTGCAAGTCATGGGTCCTAATCCTGCTCTTGGTTTGCCTGATATTTAAGTGGGGAAGGGTACAGAAGCAGCCCCACTATCCATCGAGCTTCAACCATGCACCATCACTGCCCCTCAAGGATTTCCAGGTTATAAAAATAAAAAGAAGCTCAAGCTATTTCCTTGGAAGATTGGAAGAATGATCGTTATGACTTTTCCCTGCCAAAGCAACTCATGCCATCAGCGCACTTTATCTTAGCACAGTATTGCATTAAGGCATATTAATATCAACAAATTGAGGCTACTCAAATAAGTTCTTACCAGATTTTTATTGCAAAACTTGTACTATATAACGTAAGTAGATGAAAACAAAGTCCCCAAGATGGTGTTTTGTGCTACATACCTGAGAATCAAGAAAAGTACAAGCTGCCTCCAGTGCAACTTCAAGAGCACGGAATTCAAATGGCAAATAATCTGGTGATGGATTGCCAAACATGTTCTCAATATTCCTGCCTCCTCTTCTTCTGCTCAACTCACCTTCTGACTGCCAAACCTCACCTGCTCCTGCAGCTTGCAACCGCCGCTGCAGCTCCACTACATACTGCAGGACATAGCTATCGAGAGAATTTAATAGGAGAACCTCATCAGCTGTAATGATACATCGAATCTGCTCAAGATTTACAACAATCGCCTTCTCTCTGCCAAGGATTGTTGATGGGTAAACAAACAATGGATCTAATAGACGTAGATCACGAGCTGGAAGATCGCAACGACGCATCATAGTGAACTTGTCAACCTCAATGACCTGGGAATTGCCAGATGTATCAACCCGAATCCATGATCGAAGACCTTGACCTCGCTTCTTAAGGCCCAAAACATCTATACCTTGAAAAGGTTGACGACCAGAGGTAGGCGGCCTATAAGATACTTCTCTAAGATTTGCTGCTGATGCAGGTTTTGGTGGAAGCAAGCGTTCTTTTATTTCAGCCATCAATGAAGATTTTAGAATCTGGAACAAATGAAGAAGTTGGTGAGCTTCAAGAAGAAAGAACTGGAAACCCCAATCTAATAACTGTGAAAGAAACCTCCATCCCCAGCAATAATTTTCAACTGACTCCGTCTTTAAGTTTAATCGAGTTTGTTAGGCCATGTAGTTAGATAAGTTGGTCCATTATGCCAGCATTTACTTACATGAAACTTCAATGGCCAATAGACCTCAATACTAACTCTATACACATCATGAAATGTATTAAAAAACACAGTTGCTCTACGTTCAGCTTCAGAAGCTTCCCTAAAAGTATCAAATTTCATTTTGAGTTTGCCTATGTGTCCAGTCCACTCTCTAATAAGTTAAATCTTGGCAGATGGGTATTTATAATAACTACGTTATCTTATCAAGTTCTGTAGCACAACACAATACCTCTTAGCTAGATTAGTTTTTGGATTTAACGGCATTTGAAATCAGTGTATGTGAAATAAGTTGTTTGGATCCTATGAAAGGTATGTTAAATGACATCAAGAATGTGTTAGGTACTAAGGAAGATGTTCCCTAGGAGTTGGGACTCTATGGAAAGTGCATTCTAATAACTTCTTTACTTGAGAAGCTATCATTTTTACTCAATCTACAAACGTCCAAGTTCCAATTCTTACTCAATCTTACTTGTTTTAATCAAAACTCAAAAAGTTATCAAGAAAACATATTTCTCATACCATGTCCTACACCGGTACAATTACAACATGTCAGCTACTTTAATACCCAATCCAACAACAGAAACTGATTTCCTAAATAAACATTTAAACTAAACAGAAAGTATTCTCCACAGAAAAATATTTTCTTTGAAACTAACTAACATGAAAAAAATCGAGATTGAGCAATTGAATTGAAGCTTATTGTAAATCATCAAGCTTCACCTGTAGATCGGGAGAGCGCTGGTCATCCAATTAACCCGGCTCTCATTTGATATTGCGGCCTAAATAATCAGTCCAATTTTCGACCCAATTATACTATATTAGGGTTTCCGTCAGAGCTACCACTGTAGCTCCGCCGCCACGTGCGACGCCGGAAAATCGCCGACCGGAAAAACGTAGAAGTCAGGCACTCGACCAAAGCTCAGTGAACAGATTTCTTCTCAGCCCTAAGGAATACAGTAATACTAATTTACGTAAAAAGTAAAATTGTAAGTACTATCTTTACTTCTCTACTATCTTCTGTTTTTTATTTATTTATATGTGGCTGAATATTATTCCTTTTACATCTAAACTCTCACAAATTTTTATTTATTTATTTATTTAGGCTGGATTCGTGCTGCTTAATTATCACGAAATTGACATAACCATTATAAATTCATACGTATCATATTTTCTTTTCAAAGGTTATGGTGGTATTTTTATATATTGCACGTAATTTATATACTTTCAAAAATATTTTTTAAATTAACTTTTTTTTAAGTAAAGCAACAGTACAGAGGGAGTACAAATTACCACCACCTCCCGAAACTTGTTTGCCATTTTGTAACGAGAGAATTTGTTTGTTCCGTCACGCAGGGGCGAACCTATTATTATAGAGTTTACTTAAATTTTCTCGACAAAATTTTTTATATATATACTAATTTCAAATTATCTTAATCAAAGAAGAGAGATAGCTATACGTTGCAACTTGAATTACAAATGATTAACTTTATTAAAAATTCTAATTCTATCACTATTATCGTAATATTATTTTCTTTTTTTTCCTCTTCTCTCATTTAGATATACATAGACAACTAAAACGACATGATTCACGCATCCCAGTCCCAAAGGTCATAAATGATGTTTGTCACTGTGTGTTGCCAATGAAACCCATCAATAATTGTTCGATGCAATTTAATGTGTATGTTTTTTGGGTTGAAAGTGACAACTATAATATAGTCTTCATTTGCAATAAATAAAGTTAAATTGAAAGAGGTCCTCATCAATGTACATCCCAGCATCAGTCATCACTCATCAGCCCCACCGGCTCTGCTTCAACTTAGAAAGAGACTTCAGATGGATAAGAATTAACTCGCTACTATCGATTCATTTTAGTTATCGTGTTTATTAAATTTAATTTATTTAAAATAATTATCATTTGGCGACTTATTTCTATATTTATTCTTTTCAATAATGAATTAATGTGATTACAATTTAATGTTTGAACCAAAGGTAGGAGTAGTAAATGGACTCCTACGTATTACAACGCCAATTAATGTATATTTGACAAATTTAAAATTTATAAATTTTTTATTCACAAATTATAAATTAATATCTGGAAATTGGACAAAACAAAATTATTGTTTTTCATATATTGTAGTATATGTTACATATAGACCAACCTATAAAAATGTGTCTAGTTTTAATTCAAAAGTAAAAATCTGTCTAATTTATTCAAACTTGACATGATATTAGACCATTAATCGTCCTAATTCAACGAAATATGTTTTGTATAAGTTGTTGTGCTCATTTGTTGATTCAGTTTGACTTTATTTGTCTAAAGTAGACTAAATCCATCAAGTCGTTTAAATTTCAATTTCAACTTATTTAAAAATTGAATATTTTGAATTTCAATTCATTATATTCCATTCATATTGACCTATTCTTTTATCATAATTGAAAGAATATTTTTGTTATTACTGTCCATTGAGATTCAACTCCTTTATGTATTCAAGCCAGTCAAAGAATAATAATAATAACAAAACATCAACCTATATACAATTAGATATAGAAACATTTGAGCAATTAAAAGTTGTCATTAGCTATAATCTTCATAATTATTTTAGGAATCTGAACTATATAATAATATTTTCCATTGATATCATTACATGATTAGAATTGATAAATACAGAGGTGGAACGGTTCCATCTATGTACAAAATATACAACTCCCTCCTTTGAGTATATACAGAAACCTCAAACCATCTTTGAGTTTGAAGATGATGGATGGGTTTTAGGGTATTTGACAGAAACATAATGATCGAAGATAATACATAAAACGGGCATGTGAGCTAATCCAGATACCACCACGTTTATTTTTAAAAATTATATATAAGGATTGATGTGAGACGAATAATCCCGAATGCCTGCTCCTTCCCATCCCATCCATTCTTCCCACATATCATAATCTGGATCATTCACTCCTCTCATGGCTTCATCGTCATCGTCATATTCTTCGTAAATCTCCATTTCTGCATTCTTTGTTTCACCTCTCAAGTTACTCATCACAGTCTGCATCAAAAATTACACATTAGAACTAATCCATGAGCTAAAAATGGTCCAAAATTGGACATTGGGCGCAGACATTGATAGATGAGCTACGTCATCAGATAAACTAAAAAAATGAACCTAACGCTGAAACGTTTGATATGTCCAGATAACATATTACAAAACATGATTTGAAAATAATTGAATTAAGGGACCTACAAACAAGTTCTAGTACGTAATAATAATTGAAAATGGGATAGTGACATATTATTAGATAACGTAATTGGCACCTCTTAACTTATACAAACAAAAGTGAAAAGGACTTTTGGCCTAAAAAATATTCACAGGTTCCCTACAAGATTAAATAATCCAAATATGAATTGATTGATACCTACTTAAAGTATTTGTTTATTGAATAAAGTTTTATAATCCCCTGAAGCTCATCTAGTGGAGCAAATGAAAACCCACTTTTCCTTATTACTATTAATTAGTTAATTAATTATTATAAGCATAGATTAGGAAGAACATTAAAAACAATACAAATCTCACAATCAAGAATCCAACCATTATCTTCCTCAATTTGGTTCCTATATTCTCTGCTTTAATTCATACAACTTCTTTTGTTTAAAATTAAAATTAAAGCTAAACTCAACCTATCATTCAAAATTTTATAAATTACTATAAAACACGAAATAAATAAATTAGTATACCCAAAAAAAATGTCGATATCGGTAATAAATAAACTTACATCGTATGCATCATTGATTTGGTGAAATTGTATACCGCAATTACTTCCTCTGCATACATCCGGGTGATACTGAAATTCAATTAAACAACAATTTTGTTAATTAACAATGTCGAGCCTCAACAAAAACTAAAATAGTATAACAAAGAAAAATTAAAAAAAATCTTAACTATTCAATTGATTCATTATTTTAACTTTTATTTTATTCGATAAAAAATTCAATTTTATTATAATCCCATGTTTCTCCTTCATCCTGCCAATAATTTCACGAGATATCTGGTCTATCGTACCAGCACGTTATTTTATAACAGAAGGGAGAGAGAAAATATACCTGAAGAGCAAGCTGTCTAAAAGCCTTTCTAACATCAGATTCAGAAGCATCAGGTTGAATCCTCAAGGTCTTGTACGGATCACTCAGAGAAGGTGAATAAACACAAGTAACCCCAAATTTAACATTCTCACTCCTCTTCGTCTTTTTGTTTGCGCGATTCTTCAAACGAATCCATGAAGCAGAGGCAGAACCATAACCCCCAACATTCCTCATCATTCCCATAGCCGTCGCCATTGATTTTTTTTAAAAAAAATTCGTCTTTCAAATTACGCAGATGAATTTTTAACCGACAGATTAGGATGTTTAAATAGATTATGAATTAATTGAAGTATTCAACGAGACCTGATCAAATACGGCAAACCAAATATGAATGAGACTAATATATTTATTAAAAAAGAATAATAATTGTTGATATAAAGGTCAAAAAGATGGAAAAACAGGGGAAGAAAATAGAATAGGAAGATGCTTGTTAGCGTTAAGCAGAGTCGGTTTAAATAAGTGTATGTAAAAGAGAAGAAAAAGGGATAAGAGAAAAAAAATAATATATGGTAGAATGGTAGTGGTTGATGAAGAGATGACGTGTCACTAAAATTTTAAGAAATATAATTAAAATATATCTGAATATTTTATGACTTATCGAGGCTAATAAATATTTGATGATATAGTTAACTAATATATAAATAATTTGAGAGGTAGAAAGATTCTTTTTAAATCGTAAGAGAAAATAGACGTGTTAAGATTAATTACACGATTTCCTAATTACCACTCTAATATACGGAGAAAAGTTATTCCATTTCTACAAAAATGTTATATTTTTTTCCTTTTCTAAATTTGTTAGGATTTATAACTTTCTAAATATGGAGAGTAAATTTAAGGCATAAGCAAAATTCATAATTAAAAAAGACAATACATTTTAAGTAATTAGCTTATTTGCCTACCCTGTATAAATATTTCGGTTAATATATATCAAAGTCTAAAATAATTTAATTTAATTTAATTTTTTTTAATTATGTGTTTAAACTTTAAATAGTTATAGTTAACTAAAATAATACATAATTTGAACGGCTCTTCACGATCTTATCCGACTTTTGTCGATTGGTTAGGTGTGACGTGGAAGCATTATACGCTTACTTTGTTTTATTATAATATTTCTTAATTCGATCGGTTTGTCATAATTTTTATTTTTAAAATTAAATTAAAAATTTTGCTTAATATTTTAAAATATATTTTTATAATATTAATAAGTAAAAAATTATAATTTATAATATTTTTTATATAGTTTTAAAATTTTAATTTTTTTAATTAAAATATTAAATTAATATAATCTAATTAAACTTTAAAAATTAATAAAATTGACTTTTAAAAAACATAACATGACAAACGATACCGAACGGGAAGCACTATTGTCGTTTTTGACTTCTTCCCCAATTTTTTTTTGAATAAATAAATTATGGTCATCCCATTTTGGTATAATTTCCAAAAATGGTGACTTCCATATATATATATATATATATATATATTATATATATATATATATATATATATATATATATATATTAAAAAGGAATCAAAAATTTTATTTTTAATAAGTTCTTAAGTCAATATTCTCTTTTTATTCTTAAAAAAATTAAAGTCTCTAACAGAAATGAAATGATATTATATTTAAAATCTTAAGATTCAATGAATAGTTTGAATATAATATGCATTTTTGTTTATAATAACAAATATAAAGTCTTTTTATATTATTAAAATTTTGGCCAATTAAATTAAGACTCATAATTTAAAGGAACATAACGAAGAAACTTTATATCAAAAGTTTTCATTAATTATGTTCAGTGTAATTTCATTAATAAAATTTCGAAAAAACAAAATATACAAAGTCATATTTATATCTTATAACTGATATAATGATATTATGCAAAATATCTAAATTTTTTTGGTACAGAGAAAATATCTACTCTTATAAGTCAATTTAGCTTCATACAAGTTGGTGGATAGAAGTTTGTCTATTAGTTATTCCCTTCTTATGAGTGCTTTCCTTTATGCAAAAATATCCAAAGAGCTTTTTTTTCCCTTTTTTGTTTAGGAGTTTAAATATAAAAATTGAGAGAGGTTATAAGGCGACGAATCTAATTTTCACGAGCAAGATGAAAATTCAAATATTCAATCAGTCTCAAATTTTTTGAATGAAATTATGACTTGCCTATATGAATTTTCCGCATGATTATATTATGTAATTTTAATTGAGGCTTGTATTTGATTTAGAATAAATAAATTTTATGTAATCACAAAAATATCAATAATTTTTTCTGAAATATTTGCATAATCAAGAAATCATAGAAGGAACGCACCGAGAAATTACCATGTAATTATTAGCTCCTTTAATATTTTTCTAACATATTATGTACTATAAGCTATCATCCTTCTAGAGAAAATTGTTCATATATTATTTGGAAACTACCATGTAATTATTACTATGATAATAATATATATACACAATAATTTTTCCAGATGAACAATATAAACAAAATATAGTTAGTGACAAATATGTGTGGTTTATATAAATACTCTCTTCGAATATATTATATGTATCAAAACGTATATTTGTCACTAGCTAAATTTTATTTAGTAACAAACATACCAATCTGTTTCTTTTAAGTTGTCATGATAAGAATTGTGTCAAACCTTATTAATTCTTTAGTTATTATTTATACATGTGCCTCTTATTCTAGAATAATTAGGGCAAACTTGAAAAGAAAAAAATCTAAGAATTGTCTAAATTGACAATTACTTTGAAACTAATACTGTTAATATACATAACAACTAC